TAATTCAACTGGAATGCCATCACCTCCACTGGCATTGTCGTTAGCCAAGCTTTCTAAGGCCCACTTGACTTCACTCTCCAGGATGTCTGACTCAAAGTCAGCAACTACACTATCTGGGTTGTCCGGGACATCCAGATTTTTCTGGTATAATTCCTCGGTGTATTCTTGCCACCTCTTCTTGATGTCTTCTGCTTCTGTGAGGTCCCTACCATTTTTGTCCTTTATCATGTCCATCTTTGCACAAAATGTTCCTTTATAATATGTCAAATTTTCCTGAACAGATCTCTTTTTCCTTTTCCATTATTTTCCTCTATTTCTTTGCACTGTTCATTTAAGAAGGCCCTCTTGTCTCTCCTTGCTATTCTTTGGAAGTCTGCATTCAATTTTCTTTATCTTTCCCTATCACCCTTGCATTTTGTTTCCAATGTGAATTTGGCCCAACTCTGGTCCATGTGGTCACAAAGAGTCGGACACGACTAAATGACTAAACAACAAAAATCCATTTTTTCCTAAAGTATGTATTTTAGTTGCACTGAAGAACCTTAAAAGTAACAGGGAGAGCACTGTTTACTAAAAGACAAATTCCAAAGTCCATATTGATGATACCTTTGCAAAGCCAGCTAAAAATCCTGAAGTCGTGCCTTTTCACTTAGCCTCATAGAGGTTTTGCCCCAGCCTGGATTTTCAGAAGTAAAGTTTCAAAGTATAGTTTTATAGCTAATCCCAGTTCTGAATTAAATCTGGTCGGTAGCTAATATCCTTAATTTTCAGGGACTACACTAGATCAGAGAGGAGTGGCAAGTGGATTGGGATCCAATGAAAATTTACTGGGATTATGCAAATTTGCAGTGCAGGAGCACCTGTTTCAGTTTCCCAAAGGGAACTGTAGCAACGAAACGGAATGTTTCTCTTCTCAAATACAGTACAGCATGGTTGGCTTTGTGCAAATTGCAAATCTCTCAACCTTGGGCTTCCACATTTGTAAAACCGGAGTGCAGCACTGTACATTCTCTTCCTTCCTTATTGTTCTTCGTTGCTATGGTTACGGGGGGGAGCGAGGGGAGGCCTCCAGAACGCTATGGGGCGCTGTGAGAGAAATCGGCCGGCGCAACAAGACCCAAGGAGGAGCGGGAGGGGGGTTCCTTCATTTATTCTGTGTATGTGTGTGTGTGACGGGACTCGGCGAGCCGGAGGGGAGGAACTGAAAGTGAAGCGGACCTCGTCGGGAAGCGGTTGAGGAGCTTGCCCGCCGATCCGGAACCTGCCGCGGCCGGGTGGAGGAGGACTCCTGTTCCCCTCCCCTCATGAGGAAGCGGAAGGCCTGAGGCCGAGCATGGCTGACAACGGCTTCGACCGGGCCCCCGGTGCGGGTCGAGGCCGAGGGGGTGGGGCCCCTCTGGCTCCCGAGAGTGGGGCCCGCTT